TACTTCCGTAGTGATACTGCCTTGGAAACCCAAGGAGGGGTCGCTATGAGTCGGGGCCGACTCGACGGCACATAACAACAACAACAACATATATAATCAAGGTCATATTTTGGCTCTCATGGTCTTGTTTTAATTTATTCAGCTTCAATTTGAATTTGCTCATGAGCAAGTGATGGTCTGTTCCACAGTCGGCCCCTAGCCTTGTTTGGACTGATGATATTGAGCTTCTCTATCATTTCTTTCCACAGATGTAATATACGACTCATGTGTATTCGATCCAGCAAGCTCCATGTGTATAGTCAAAATTTATAATGTTTGAAAAAGGCATCTTCAATGAACAATTCATTACTCTTGCAAAATTCGATCATGTGATCTCCAGCATCATTTCTATCACAAAGGCCGTATTGTCCAAATACCCACGATTCTTCTTTGTTTCCAGCTTTCACATTCCATCAACAATAATTATCAATGCAGCTTTATGGCATGTTTTGTCAATTTCATACAACAGAAGTTGGTAAAAATCTTCAATTTCTTCATCTTTTGCTTTAGTGGTTGGTGCATAAATTTGAATAATAGTCATATTAACGGGTCTTCCTTGTAGGTGTATGGATATTATCCTATCACTGACAGGATTGTACTTCAGGACAGATCTTGAAACATCCTTTGTTATTATGATTGCAATGCCATTCCTCTTCAGTTTGTAGGAAATTGATCTTTATGCATTCCATTTCATTTTTGATGACTTCCAATTTTCCTAGATTCATACTTCATACATTCCATGTTCCAATCATTAATGGATGTTTGCAGCTATTTCTTCTCATTTTGAGTTGTGCGCCATCAGCAGATGAAGGTTCCAGAATCATTATTCCATTCACTTCATTAAGATTGACTCTACTTCGAGGTGGCAGCTCTTCCCCAATCAATATCAAGTGCCTTCCAACCTGAGGGGCTCATCTTCCAACACTGTATCAGACAATGTTTCACTGCTATTCTTAAGATTTTCAGTGACCAATTTTTTCATCAGTAAATGGCCCTATCCTTCTTCACAGTGTGTCTTAGTTTGGAAGGTCTACTGAAACCTGTCTACCATTGGTGACCTTGCTAGTATTTGAAATACTGGTGGCATAGCCTCCAGCTTCAAAGAAACATGAAAGGCACCACAGTATGACAAACTAACAGACAAGTGGTGGACATTTTTATAAGTGGACCTAACCCAATAAATTAATTACAGATTCTGTTGTTGTTGTTAGGTGCTGTCGAGTCAGTTCCAACTCATACTGGCCCTATGCACAACAAAATGAAACACTGCCCAGTCCTGCACCATCCTCACAATCACTGCTATGTCTGAGCCCACTGTTCAGCCACTATGTCAATCCATCTTGTTCTGGGTCTTCCTATTTTTCACTGATCCTTTACTTTACCGAGAATGGTGTTCTTTTCCAAGGATTGGTCCTTCATGATATCATGTCCCAAGTACAAGAGATGAAGTATCACCATCTTCGCATCTAAGGAGCATTCTGGCTGTACTTCTTCCAGGACAAATTTGTTCGTTCTTCTGGCAGTTCACAGTATATTCAATATTCTTCACCAACACTGTAATTCAAAGCCATCAATTTTTCTTTGGTCTTCCTTATTCATTGTCCAGGTTTTGCATGCATATGAAGTGATTGGAATTATCATGGCTTGGATTAGACACACCTTAATGATCTAGGTGACATCTTTGCTTTTTAACACTTTTGTAGCAGATTTCCTCAATGCCAGTATGCTGTGTGATTTCTTGACTGCTGCTTCTATGAATACTGATTATGGATCCACATAAAATGAAATCCTTTACAACTTCAGTACTTTCTCTGTTTATCATGCTTTTGTTTATTGGTCCAGTTGTAAGGATTTTTGTGTTATGTTGAGGTGCAATCCATATTGAAGGTTGCAGTCTTTGATGTTCATCTAAGTGCTTTAAGTCTTTTTCATTTTTAGCAAGCAAGGTTGTGTAATCTGCGTATCACAGGTTGTTTCAGACACTGTACTAGGAAAAAACATGCATCCCAGTTGCTTCACATCCTTGTCAATACTTGGTATTATCTTTTAATATGACTTTTCTCATGGGTACTGCAAAAATGGCGAGGAGGCCACATGTTCTGACCTCCTCTAATCCCACAAGAGGAAGACAGGATTACCAGCACTAACCCAAGGCCTATTACTGCAAGGCCAGACATGCTGCCTCCCTCCAGCCCTTTCACCAACCGTTCCTCCCAAAGCACCCACCACCTCTCTCC